TTATTATTATTATTATTATTATTATTATTATTATTATGGTTATGATTACTTTACTTTCATTATTTTTAACAAGTGATTTTAGAGATATATAATAGAATAAATTATTTTTGTAAACTCAAATGAAGTCATTGTTTTAAAATTTTAGATATATAAATGAACTTTGATAACTACTAAGTAGTGTATTTAGGGCATTAGAAATAAATTTGACGATATCTTTTATCAGAAAATATATGTTTTTTATTATTGTTTTTGTTTTTGTCAAAAATAATGTTAATCCTATGCTTACAAATCAAGGAAGACTTTATTCCATTTCTCCTAATTTAATTAACGAAAAGAATCAAATATTGGAAGGAAAAAATATCTTATATTTTTTAAAACTATAATACTAATTTCATCAATTTAAAATATACATAGCCTTAAAATAAATTATGATAAAAAAATTGTAAAGACCAGAAAACCTTTTTTTTTCTATTTTATTATAAGTCTATACTACTAGTATACACCCCTACTTTCATATTTAATACACATTTAACATTATTTGCAATAAAAATATTTGATTTGTTAAATTTCTTAATCAATACCAAGAATATGTTTTGTCAATGGTACTGGATGATATGTTAAAGTCTCTAATTTTAAAAAGAAGTTAATTAATTAGAGTGGAAACAACCTGGACTCGCACCCTTTTGTTGTTTGTACGTAAGCTCGTAACTACCGAATATATGAGGCAGATTAGGGTCCACAGTTCCACATTATGAATCAATTATTATCAAAATCGCCATTAATGTTAAAGCTAAGAATAAGAAAGTTTGGACAGAAGGATGCTAAGAGTAAAGCCAAAGGCTTTGGTCTTACGAAGCAATGCATCTTATCCTTAATTACTTCACTCTTTTATGCCCCACTCAGAACCACTCCTTTGGTTGTTCTTCATAACCACTTTGTCACACCAACATCAACACCATTTTTTGTCAATTATTACTATATTCCAACCTTTGTTTGGATTAGTATTCACTCCCACACTTTCTTTCATATTTTATTTGGTAAATGTTAACACGTATCTTTAAGACACTAGCCAACAAAATGAAAGTAATTATTTTTATAAAAAATATTATTATAATTTCTATATATTTTCAAACAAAGTTTTCTATCAATAACACTTATTTGTTTATCAACAACATAACTGAGATAATGTTAAGCGCGTGATGGTTCAGGAACAGAGACAAGGACCTGCGATCTTCCGGTCCGTTTGATTAAAGCAAAATCAGATCACTGCCAGTTTATTTTATCTCTGATTAACACTGATGCTGACAATGCTTTACACAGAGGATCGATTAAAAATTATTGGTAGTCTAATTTTTAAGTAATAATCATAAAAAACTATTGTATTAAAAATTTTATAAATGAATAATAATATTGTGTTATATTGTTACTATCATTTGTTTTATCATTTTTTAATTAATAATATTGAATTTAAATTCTTTTTTTTATTTTAATAATAAATTTGACACAATTGTCTTCTAAATATATCTATATGTAATATATTTTTTTTAAATTATTCTTCAAATAATTTGATTCTGCATGTATAAAGAAAGAAATATATACACTAAACCCAAAAAATATCATGAACTCGCTAACATCCAATGAACCAGGAACCTTGCACTGGCAGAAGCCTGCAGAGTTGGAGATTCTCAGCAACAGTATCGGTCAAGCATCCATAGATTATACAATGCCAAGTTTCTTTGACTATAATTATTACATGTCCATCTCTTTATTTCTCATTTTTTCAGATCCCTTTCATTTATTATTTATTTTACCTTTTTATATATTTAATATTTTAACTTTCATTTTTTTATATATTTTTGTAGCTGTCTTTTTTAATTTCAAATTAATAGTAACAAAATTCAAAATTGTTATTTTTACAGGTAAAAACATACGCAATTATATAAATGTTTGAATATTATTCGATTCAGGTGGTACATAATTTTTTTAGAATAAGTTGGGTTACATTTTTTTTACCATTTTACCTCTCCTCGTATTGTATAAATGTGTAATTTCATATTATATATGGTAAAATGAATGCCAATAATGTAAACTTCAATATTATTATACAAAACAATTAAACAAATCAATCTAAGTCTTAAATAAGTAAAAAAGTTAATCAAGTTTTAAATAAGTATATATGTAAGTGTCAAATAAATGACCATCACTGAATTGTTTGTGATGATGCGATAAGGAGACCATATATGACATTGGTTTGATGGAAATAAATGAAATAATTTAACCATAATGTTCTCTATTTTCTAAAAAATAAAATTAAATATCAAACTTGACAAGCTAATTCCGTATAACGTACTCTTGATCAAGTAATTTAATTTATATTTAGAAAAAAAAGGAGCAAACAAAGAAAACATTTTAATTGGTCTGGACTCTTTTCCCTTTTAAACCAAATTAGATGAACTTATGCATGCTTATCATCATTGTTATGTGATTATTGTTATTAGTCTATTATGACTTAGGGTTAATAATGTCGTCAATTGTTCTTAAATTATTGTAATTATCATTAACCATATGATTAACTACAATTTTAGTTCTTAGATTTTGATTCAGTTTGATCTTTGTACTAAAATTTTAAAATTTATCATTTTAGTCCTATAAATAATTCTTCTTTTTGTTTTGGTGTTTTTACCTCAAATATAATTAAAATTCTCACCATATATAATATAAAAAAAAAAATTTGACGATATCAGATTTGAATAGATTTTTGAGACATAAAATTTGACTTTTGACTTACATAAATAATTTAGAAAACTTAAGTCTAACTAATTTGATGAATGAGTAAAGTCAAAATATGATGTATTAGGGGCAACACACGTGTGTCAAAAAACACATAGTACAAAGTTAAGTTGTATATTGTCCATCAAATAAATAAGAATAAGAACAGAAAGTGATGTTATAACGCAATTAACAGTATTGTATTATTTTACTTGTAATGTATCAACACATAACTTACATATTATTCACAAATTATTCACAAGCATTGTTATTTCATCTCAAAAGATAGTTATTTAATTAAGGATTTGTTTGTTTATTTTTATAAATAATTTTGATCATTTAGTTAGTTAAAATCATTTAAAAAACTGATTTTAGTTTTTTAAAGTTAACAAAATAAAATTGATATATTTTTCACTTTTCATTAATATGCATACATTTTTTATTAATAATTATTTATTTTAATCATTATAAAGTTATTAAAAATATTTTCCATTTTTCATCATAATTTTTCCTATACTTAAAATAATTTTGTTGAAAATTATTTAATCATGTTAGTTTTAACTGAGACAATACATATTTTTTTATGCAGGATAAAAATATTATATAAAATAATTTTATTTAAATATTTAATATTTACATGTGAAGAGATTTGTACTTAAAATTATTTATTATTATGAAAAAAACATATTGATACAAGGTAAGTCTTAGCGTTTTGTTTTTTTGTATTCAATTAATTGAAATATACTTTTTATCTATATTAAAAAAAATTATAACAACATATGAAATCTATCTGTCACCAATGTTTTAAAATCTAAAACTAAAATAAATATTTTATAATTTAAAATTGTTTATATATAAATTGGTTTGTGAGTTATTTAAAGAAATAATTTTTAATTATGTAAGATTACTTTATTTTATTGTCTCAGTTTTTTTTTATAAAGAACAAATATTATTTAACTAATTTAACTGTAACTTCTAGTTGAATATTGGATCGGAGGATATGATTTTGCTACAACACGTGTATCTGAAATTTTCTCGTCTTTTGTTACTAATTTTCCCCCACATAAAAAAGTATCCCAGTCCTCGATTCCCGTGTTGGCAGATCCAATAAAAGCACCAAGCCGACACTTTTCTCTCTCTTCGTCTTCTTCCTTATTTTTTTGTCTGTCATTTTCTCCTCACTTCACTTCCCAATCTTTTCACTTCTTCCCCTTTTCTTCTCGCTCACCAAACACTCTCTCTCACTCTACAAAGAAAGCTGAGCTGGTTGCGGGTGTTATGGTCGCTTCACACTCTCACTCCTCCACTCTTTGCTGGTGAGAGTTCACACATCATTTGCATTTCCCTTCTAACTCTTGATGTCTCAACCTTCGACTTTCAAACACTCCTCAACTCTCCTAACTCATTCTTTTGTCCACGCTTCTGACTCTACTCGGCCTCACCATATTGCAGTTCAGTTATTGCCCTTTTAGCTTTTTGGATCATCCATTCCATGCACAACCTCAAACTGGTGAGAAACCTCCTAACGCACCCTTTCTTAGACATGGCATTATATATATATATATATATATATATATATATATATATATATATATATATATATTTATTTATTTATTTATTTATTTCTCAAGTCACAAAACCTCTGTTTTTCTTCTTGTTTTCTAAAACGTTTGTTTACAATAAAATGAGTTTGTGTAGCTTTTGTAGTTTGTTCTCATAGCGGAGAAAAGGGGGAAACAAAACATTTTTCTCGTGATTTTCAGTTGCATGCTGTAACAGGTACCACATTGGGAGGTCTCCTTACCAGGAGGCCTTATAAGGTAGAGGTTCTCCAACCTCTTGAGCTAGCTTTGAGGATGGTTCCCCTTAGCCTTATGGTTGTTACATTGGTGCTTTATTGAGAGCCAGCCAACTGGAAGGCTACCACGGAGGTTCTGACGCGAGGGTTCTGACCACTGAGGTTCGGTAAAAGCCGAGAAAGTGCATGAGTGAAGTGCGGGAGTGAAGGTCGAGACGCTAGCTTCAACGGTGGATTGCAAGTCCACATGGAGGTCTCCTCAGGAGGCCTTATAAGGTGGAGGTTCTCCAACCTCTTGAGCTAGCTTTGAGGATGGTTCCCTTAGCCTTTGGTTGTTACACATGCGAATTATTTGTCGGCTGATATGGTTCATGGATTATGTTTTGTCCTGTTTGAATAAACAGAAAACTGTGGTGGATGTCTGTTTTAGGGAATGTACGAATTTGTATCTGGTGATTTTAAGTTTCTGGCTACTGTGCGAGTACATGACGAGGTTACTAATAATAATATTTTCCTAGTGATTATAATTTCATCTTCTGCAATCATTTTGTGACAATATACTCTCACATGTCTTATTTAATTTCTTTAGGGAATATTCTTTATATAGAGTGTGTCTCTGTGGAGAGCTTGCGGCTATTGATAATAACACTAATAAAAAAGATCCTGATTATGCAAGTAATGACTCTGTTTGCACGGGATGTTATAATTAATTTTTGTTAGCTTGAGTCCTTGGTTCTGTATGAACTTGTCCTTCAATATTGACTTACAGTAGCCCACTTCCTTTCCACTGGCCTTGGCTCCATGCAGGTTGCTCCCTGTCAAAGCTTTTAGTATTATGGATCAAAAAACGTGGCTTTGGAGGAAAAAATCCTCAGAAAAGACAATTATAACAGCTGAGAACACCGATCTCACTTCGAAAGAAAATGAAGAGGTGATTTAACTGTTTTTAACATTATTTATTCAATTCTGATCAATATTATGATTAAGCTGGCTTCTTCTCGGTTCCAACCTTATCCTTTCCTCATTTATCTTACTTCTATTTATGAGTATTAAGTCAGTTCTTTATTAATTACCCTTGTATCCTTATTAATAAGAATGATAATTTATATATTTTTTTCCTGTGCATTTCCTTCTGAATTATTATGATTATAAAATTGACAACATAATTCTGGTTGTATCTACTCATCGGACTTTGAGGACTATCTGAGCTTTCGTTTTAGCCTTTTTTTGGTACATAAGGAAAAGTAAACAAAAGAAATCAAAGAAAGAAGCCTACTAAGAGGTGTATACTAAGTCATAACCAAGAGAAGCTAATATGGTATCTGGAGGAGAATCCCAAGCATAATCCTAACAGGCTTTGTGAGACGCCCAAGTTGCCAACAAATCTGCACAATTATTTGCATCCGGTGAAATATTGATGAACATGCACTGGCTGTGAATATCATGCAGAATATCTTTATACCGATGAATCTGTATCATGTCCTCATTCCACACATGAAGGATATGAAACACCTCCCAGGACTCTGTTTCTCCCAAACCACACAACGGTATCCTTTATCCTAAGACTTCATTATCCCAGCTTTAATAGTCAAAAGTTCTGCTAGAATACGATCACCAGGCCCCATCTTACTGGAAAATCCAAACAACCATGTACCAACAAAATCTCTGAGCAATCCTCCTATCGCCATTTGACCAGTACTTGTAACATAGCTCCATCCACATTAAACTCACAAAATGGTCATTAGGCAATTTCCACAATTTGTCACTCAAGTCAAGATTGAATTATGCTTCAAATTCGATATATGGATAAAAAAACCAGCTTTAGATAATTTGGTCATCCTTAGGACATACTGAAGGGACCATTTATCCTGAGAAAATAAAGTTATTTCTCCGATGCCAAACCCATCACATAAAGGCAACTCTCTAAAGGAGAGGATTTGGATAATACATGAATTGAAACTATAATGAGCTTAATGATCTCCTTCGAACCAACTGAATTTCAACCTGTATGACTTTAGACCAAAGGAAGTTTCTGCAAAGTTTTTGCTTCATTAATTTACAAATAAATGGTAGTTTGTTTTATTTTACATTTTTCTCTTTTAGGTACAAGCACTTGTAGCTGATAAAGAAGAATTAGAGAAAGACTTGAAAAGATTAAATAACAAGCTTGATTCCGCACTTTCTGACTGTAATGCAAAAGATGAGCTGGTGAAGAAACAAACAAAAGTTGCACAAGAAGCAATGGCTGGTAGCATTCTTGAATATCTCTGTGAATTCATTTTCATTCCCTTGAAACGTGGGACATGAAAAACAGTTCAATAGCCACACATTTAAAATGTTGTTTTTGTAATTTATGAATCTCTGATAAATTGTTGCTTTTGAAGGTTTGAAGAAGGCAGAAGCTGAAGTGTTGTCCATGAAGCAAGATCTGGATGAAGCTTTGCAGCAGCGAATAGTTTATGAAGAGAGAGTAGCCCACTTGGATGGAGCTCTCAAGGAATGTATGCAGCAGTTACGATTTGTTCGAGAAGAACAAGGGCAAAGGATTCATGATGCAGTGATGAAGGCTTCAAAAGAATTTGAAAAAGAGCGCATGGTATTTTTGGAGAAGTTATCTGAGACAAGTAAAAAGCTTGCAAAAGCTGAGATTGATAACTCTCATCTTACTAAATCTTTATTTGCAAGAGAAAATTTGATTGAAGACCTGAAAAGGCTGTTGACTCAAGCTGAGGCAGATCATAGTGCACTAATGGTTAGATTAGAGTCCACTGAGAAGGATAATACCTCTCTGACATATGAGGTTCGTGTGCTTGAAAAGGAACTTGAGATCCGAAATGAGGAGAGGGAATTTAGTCGACGGACAGCAGATGCTTCTCACAAGCAGCACATGGAGAGTATTAAAAAAATTGCCAATTTAGAATCCGAATGTCAGAGGCTGCGCCTTCTGGTTCGGAAACGGTTACCAGGTCCTGCTGCCCTAGCTAAAATGAAAAATGAAGTTGAAATGTTGGGACGGGATTCATTTGAAATGAGGAAGAGCAAATTGAGCTCATCCAGTGTAGTGGTTGAATCTTCAGTTGATGCTTCTCCTGAGACTCCCAATCGAAGAATCAGTATTTTGACCGAGCAGTTATGTGCTATGGAAGAAGAAAATAAGACTTTAAAAGAATCCCTGAATAGAAAAATGAATGAGCTCCAATTCTCTAGAGTAATGCTTTCTCGCACAGCTTCCAAACTTTTGCATCTTGAGTCGCAGATTGAAGAGTTACCAAAAGGTCAAGTAACAGTGGAACAGCATAGAAGTAACCTCGCATCACATGAGTTCTCTTTGGCATCAATATCTGATGCAGGCAGTGATGACAAGGCTAGCTGTGCGGAGTCCTGGGCTTCCGCATTGATTTCAGAATTGGAGCACTTTAAAGGTGGAAAGCAAAAGGAACCATATTCATGCAATAGTGTTGGAGCTTCAGACCTAAATCTTATGGATGACTTTGTTGAAATGGAAAAATTAGCAGTGGTCTCTGTTGAAAAAGCCACTCAAAGTCCATCTGCTTCTTTGAAAGCTGTTAATGAGATCAATGGCTTCTCAGAGACTGGGACAAAGGAGAGTATTCCTGAAGAAGAACGTAAAGAGATCATTCCAGTGCCTGATCACATTTTGACCCAGACAAGTGAGACCATCCCGGAAGTAGTAGGTATGGAGATCATTCCAGTGTCTGATAATCTCTCAAAGTCAAATAAGAACACCTGTTCCATGGACCTATTTACGGACATTGTTCCTGGTTGGCTTCAGGATGTAGTAAAAATGGTCCTGGAACAAAACCATGTTAGTCACAAAGGCCCTGATGATATACTTGATGATATTAGAGTAGCTCTGAGGCATGTGAACAATCCCGAATTGTGCGACTTTGATTCAAGCAAAGGGTCTGGTCATATTGACAGACAGAATCCTCCCCAGTGTATTCATTGCATCTCATGTTCAAAAAGTTCTTTGGCTGTTAATCCATCCGGTGAGGAAAATAATGCTGACATCTTGTCTATAAAGAGAATAGAACCACAATCTCAGGAAGATCGGTGTAAATCAATTGGAAAGATAATTGAGATTGTTGAACGAATCAGTCTGCCTGCTGTGGATTATGATAGTTCAGATCCCTTGCACAAAGGAGATGGGGATATCCTTTCCTACAAGAATCTAGGAATGCCAACAGGCTACATGGTCCGTGTTTTCCAGTGGAAAACATCTGAACTCAGTGATGTTCTAGGGCAATTTCTACATGTGTGTTATGATTTACTGAGTGGCAAGACTGATTATGAAAATTTTGCGAAAGAACTAACAACAACACTGGATTGGATTATGAACCACTGCTTTTCACTTCAGGATGTTTCTAGTATGAGAGATGCTATCAAGAAACAATTTGATTGGGATGAGACACGGAGTGAAGGTGAAACAGAGAATGAGCTGACGAATCATTTTGCAGAGAAAGATGAGTTGCATCTTCCCAGACAAAACTTGTCATCTTTCCCTGAATTAACTACTTCACATGGTCATGATTTTCAGCATGGAGAGATATATTATAATCAGGCAGAACTTACAAATATCAAAGATAAATTAATCATTGCTGAATCCCAAAAGGAAGTCTTGGAAGGGAAGCTTCAATCAGCTACTGATAGGATTGAATCCTTAATGAGTCAAATCCAGCAATCAGAGAAAACTACTGACAGCTTGAGATTTGAGATACAATCCTTTAAAGAATCCAACGGAAAGCTTGAGAAGGAAATAAGAAATCAGAAACTCATTAATTCAAATCTTGATGCACAGCATACAGAAGCAGAATTAAAAGCGGCTAATGACAAGGTTTTGGCTTTAGAAGTGGAACTGGAGAATAAGAACAGCAATTATGAAGAATTAGAGGCCAAATGTCTTGAATTGCAGCTCCAGCTTGAAAGGTATGAATCTTCCTTACATATTTGTTTCTGTTCAATATGCTTTTTGAACGTATGACTTTTAATTCTAATTGTGGATTGTCATATATCAAAATAATATTCTCAGCATCTCAAAGGAGTGCTCCAACCGTGACATTAGTGAGAAAGATAAGCCACTGCGTAATGTAAGTTCATCTCCTTCTAGTCCTTTTTCTTATTGATTCGTAGTCTGAATACTAGTTCCCTTGTAATTTTTAAGAATATTTAATCAATATGAACCATGATCCTTCTAAGAGCCAAGTTAGGTCTTCTAGTATTTGGAGTTGCAAGACTTTAACTTGCCTTTTAAATTGCGACTGGAAATATATATCCAATATATAAAGCTGAGCTAGTCTAAATTAGATTTTCCATCTATATCATGTCCTAATATCAACAGGTTCTTCATACTTTCTGTATCCTGAGTATAGAGTGTACTCCTCTGCTATAAGTTGCGTCAAACTGCTAGATGTGAATAGTGATACAAAAGAACACCGTGCCATGTTTTTTATTTTTATTTTTTTAAACTTAATTTGTAAATGATGGCTGAATAGTAAACACCAGACCTGTTCTACTATAATCCGTATGCCCTTCTAGACTTCATTACAGAGTTAATTATCGTATACTTTTTTCTGTAGATAAGCAAGCTTCAGTGGCTGGCTCCATATTTAAAGAAAGTAGTTTGTCTTCGCATTCTATGTGCTCTTTTGGGACCAACTATTATAAACCTAGGCTAAACGCTCCCTCAATCTTTTTCTACATATATGAAGTAGTGATCTGAATTTGACTAACTAGTTCAGCTTCTTTAGGACATTAGAGCTGAGTTCTTTATAATTATAAGTGGCTAAAGAAATGAGAATAAAGCTCTAATGACGTGTTTGGTGTTTGCGAAGTATCAACCAGAATGATAGGCAAAAATTGGAGTAAAAAAGAAACTAACTACCCTGATATATGAGTAAGTAGCAATAAGCTTTACACTACATAGGCCTAATTTGGATACACTTCTCCATAGAAAATTGTAGGAGAAGAAATAGGGAGGTAAAATGAATCAAATTCTTCTCCCATAGGTTGAAAACAAAAAATCAAGCTCTTCATCTTTTCAAGAAGATGGAATAAGAAAGCTAACAAAAAATGATGGTACACAAGTTCAACTTTAATTTATGAGAGAAGCTTAATTCATTTTACATCTATTTACTACTACTACTAGTGTTTGTCGAAAACTTCATCCAAGGTGGGTTCTGTGTATTATGAGTTGGTTACTGATTACCTGTACAAATTCATTTCTGTTGTGCTTGTGTTGGTACTGAGTTGAGGAGTGCTGATGAATCGTACAGGACTGGGAGATAACAGCTGCTTCAGAAAAGTTGGCAGAGTGTCAAGAAACCATCCTTAATCTTGGAAAGCAGTTGAAAGCAATGGCTGCACCAAAGGATGCATCCCTTTTTGAAAATGTTGTTACCACCCAATTTAATACAATTACCAACACTGCCGCCACCACCATTACCACGGCTAATGTGGATCCAAGTCCTACCCTTCCGAAAGTCTTAAAAGTGAAAAATCGGTCCCTACTTGACCAGATGCTAGCTGATGATACTATAGCCAAGGTTCCCAAAGCAAGTGATGGCAACTCCAACCTCATCATTCCCCGCGTTATAGAGCCCCTAGAAAAGATTTTAGTTTTGAACGGTGTTAAAGGTCATGAAGACAGAAGTACTGATAATTCTTTGGCAGTTGTATCCGCTAAGAGACGAGGAAGTGGAAGTTTGTGGAGGAAGTTATTAAGGATAAAGAAGAGAAGTGCCAGCATGAAAACATCCCTCTAGTTGAACACATGAAATACTCATACGTGATAGATTTAGTGTTGTTCAGTACAGTGCTATGCCATAAGAAGGAAATTATATTTCGTTTCGATATTTCACTGAATAGACTTGATTGGTGTTTGTGTGTTTTGCTTTTGAATATGCGCATGAAAACTAACAATCTGAAGTTGTTCTTGCTATGAAAGGCACCCACCATTGTTGTTAGGGAGATACTCGTTGCTACGGTGCACAGTTGTGAGATATCCCTTTTAAATGACCGGTTCAAGTTTTGTGACACTGTACTTAATCGTGTCCTTAACGTAAATTGATTATCATGGAAACATGTTCATCTGTTTTTTTTAATCTCAACCATTAAAATCAATATACATTGATATCTATCATCTATAATAATATATAAAAGATACTTTTAAATTATTTTTTGGTGTTATTAAAAAGAGAAAATATATAATCCATATTTATATTATATCTTTTTTCTTTATTTCTTTTAATCATATGCTTTTTAATTTTTTAATATAAAATAATAATAAAAAACATTTTTTATGCTCTCTCAATTATATATATTTTTCAATTATCTCTCTTCTTGAAACTGTCTTATGTTTATTTGTCCCTAATAATTCATAATTTTACAAATAATTATTTATATTTTAAAATTAATATATACATTTAAACTTCAATAAAGTAAAATAAAAAACATAATAAAAATACAAACATATATGGACATTGTTTATGTATTTTTACTAGTATATAATAAAGATAATATTTTTATATAACTGTTTTTTTTTCTTTTGTATACAAACTTTTCTTCTATTTTATTTTCTAACTTATGATAATTTTATTATTATTTAAATTATTTCTATTTTAGTATAAAATATATTTTTAATATAGTGAAATTATTGTGAGATGAAGTTTTAGAACATTATTGACTATCTATATGAAAGACAAATTACCTTCTGTATGTAATAGTAATGTTTTTCTGTTATCTGCATTGAGCATTCTGATGTTACGGGATTAACTCCCACGTCCTTTCTTATTGAAAACGTCCCTTAGGAAGTTTTCAAAATTGTTTTAGCTGGAACATGATCTTGATTGCTTAACTAATTTTTACACAATAATATATTATTAATAATAATATTATTATTATTATAATATAGAATTGTCAAAACATTGTAGAGTCATCTTAAGTTAAAAAAAATGATATATTTTAAGATAAGATATAATTTTTGGTTTAATTTTTAAGTTGATGTTAGACTAAAAAACTAATTAATCAGTATTGATCTCAATAAAAATTAAAAAATTGAGAATGTCTCTGTATAGAAATAATTATAACATACATTATATATGAAATTGTGGATCCATTTGTGTAATCACTTTCTTTCTTATACGACTGTGGGATTGGATGCTATATGACTATGGGATCGGAGGCTGTGATAGTAATACATTAATCCACGTTACAAAGGAGTTTCGTTCCACTTTGAGAAATGTTTGTCAAACACAAGTCGAAGACAATTGTTGAATTTATACATTAATCCCCTTCTTCCAGTTTTGTTTCTCAACGACGCCTTTGACGGCGCCTCAATAAGAGACTTACTTTCTTATAAATAACCTAATTAAACTACTCAATATCGGTTATATTAAACTCTTCTCCCCCTCACAAATATTCAACGGAAAATCAACACCATGGAAGCCGTCCGAGTCATCTCCTCCTCTACAATCAAAGCACCCACTCACAAAAACGCTAACTCACCTCCTAAAGTCGATTTAACTCCTTGGGATCTCCAATTCCTCCCCACTCAAACCATCCAAAAAGGCCTTCTTTTTCGCAATGTAAAACAAACCCCATTCCAAATCCACCACCTCCAGCACTCCCTTTCCTCCACCCTCGCCTTCTTTCCACCCCTCGCTGGTCGTCTCGCCATTCTCCAACATCACCACAACATTGTTTCATCCCACATCGTTTGCGACAACACTGGAGCTCTCTTTGTCCACGCCGTTGCACCCAACACCTCCGTCACCGACATCCTTCAACCCAACTACGTTCCTCCCACTGTTTCCTCCTTCTTTCCTCTCAACGGGGTTAGAAACTACGAGGGCACGTCTCAGCCACTGCTGGCAGTGCAAGTGACGGAGCTACTTGACGGCATCTTCATCGCCCTAACAATCAACCACGTCGTTGCTGATGGCAAGTCATTTTGGCATTTCGTGAATTCGTGGGCTGAAATCTCACGTGGCTCACTTCAAATATCCAAACTCCCTTCTCTCCAGCGTTACTTTCCCTCTGGCATTGACCACCCCATATGCTTTCCCTTCACAAAGGAAGAGGAAAGCAACACTTCCCCAACCTTACACCACAAATTCTGATAAACATAGAATATACGATTACAAATACCGTATCAGGCCATGATTCTACATGATTAATTTTTTCCATATTTAGCTTGGCATGACAGCGATGCACAGTAATGCACATTAATGTCATATCTGTTAATAGACAAATTTAGGATACCGACTATAATGGTTAGCGTAATTATAGCCTAGAATGTTTCTGTATTTCATGTATATATTGTGCTATCATATTCAATATAAGACAGGGGTTTTTGGAAATATTTTTATCATGGTATCGGAAGCGAACCAAACTCTCGATATCCAATGCACTCGAGAACACAGTCGTACTTCTAAAATGGCAGAGAGAGGAGAGACGGTGAAGAAAACACCATCGCCATACGATCCGAGTGCCAGTGATAATCCCGGAAATGTGATTACACAGGTACAATTACGAGGAGAGAATTACGAGGAATGGGCAAGGGCCGTGAAGATATCTCTGCGGCTCGAAGGAAATGGGGTTTCATAGATGGAACTCATAAGGAACCTGAAGAAGACACATCCGAGATAGAAGATTGGTGGACAATTCAATCGATGCTTGTATCTTGGATACTAAACACTATAGAACCTAGTTTGCGTTCCACTCGTTGCATACATGGAAAACGCAAAGAACCTATGGGATGACATCAAGGAACGATTCTCGATCGTGAACGGACCAAGAATCCAAGCAGCTAAAGTCGAGTTGGCAGAATGCAAACAACAAGGAATGACTATGGTTTCCTATTATGGGAAGTTGAAAACGTTGTGGGATGAACTGGCAAATTATGAGCAAATCCCACAGTGTAGATGTGGGGATGCAAGTGTAATATTATGACGCAACTTGAGAAACGAAGAGAAGAAGAAAAAATTCATCGAGTTCTTGATGGGGCTAGATGATGAGGGCTATGGAACCGCACGGTCAAATGTTTTGGCAACAGATCCATTACCCTCGTTGAATCGGGTGTATGGCACCATGGTGCAAGAAGAAAGGGTGAGAACAATCACCAGGTCTAAAGAAGAGCGAGGAATGATCGTGGGAATGGCTATGCGAGCTGAAACCAGGAACAAGTTGCGCAATGAAGCGAAAGAAAAATCGGTTGTTTGCATGCAGTGTGGAAGGAAGGGACATGACAAAGGCAATTGCTTCAAGATCATTGGTTACCCGGAATGGTGGGGAGAGAGACCACGAACCGATAGAAACGATGAAAAAATCAACAAAGAACGAGGAACCTTCCGAGGAAAAGGAGGAACGGCTCGCGTCAATATGGCGCACACCTGGTGCGGATAACGTTGGTTCAACCGAAAAACCGGAAGTCGCAGGATCGAGTAATGAGCAATGGCAGATCTTGACAACGAATGTTGAATTCTCGCAAGGCAAATGAAACCGAAAAGATGACTCGGTAAGAAAGCATGTGACTTGTGGATTATTGATAGTGGCGCCTCTAATCATATGACAGGAACACTAGAAAACTTGAGGGAGAGTCGAGCCTTGGAAGGGTGTCCAGTGGGACTACCAAATGGTGAATTGGTGCTGGCAAACAAAGAGGGATCGGTTTTCCTTGATGGAGGACTGAAACTTAAACATGTTCTATATGTTCCGAAATTGAATTGCAATTTGATTTCAGTATCACAATTGACGAATGAAGTAAAATGTACAGTACATTTTACTGATAGATTTTGTGCAATGCAGGACCACACTTCGAGGATGCTGATTGGAGCGGGTGAACGAAAAGAGGGACTCTATTGGTATCGTGGTGTGAGTGGCATAAAGGCGTATCAGACCAATGCAGAAAATCAACTAGAGATTTGGCACAAGCGAATGGGACATCCTGCCTACCAGATTGTTAGAAAAATTCCGCATCTGAACAGCGTGAATAGAAATACGGATACAACTCGTGTGTGTGAAGTGTGTGAGAGATCAAAGCAATGCAGAAACACATTTCCTTTAAGTGATTTTCAAGCATCCAATATATTTGATTTAATACATTGTGATGTATGGGGTCCATATAGAACTCCCTCGTCTTGTGGTGCATCTTACTTTCTCACTTTGGTTGATGACTGTTCTCGAGCTGTGTGGATATATCTCTTGAATAATAAGAAAGATGTGTCACAAACCTTAATGCATTTCATCGCCTTAATAGAACGACAATACGAGAAACAAGTCAAAATATTACGAAGTGACAATGGAACTGAGTTTATGTGTCTTCAACGATATTTTCAGCAACATGGGATACTCCATCAAACCTCATGCACTGGAACACCTCAGCAAAATGGGAGAGCCGAACGAAAACATCGACACATCCTAAATGTAGCTCGTGCTCTACGATTTCAGGGAGAACTTCCACTTCAATTCTGGGGAGAATGCATTTTGACCGCAGGATACTTGATCAATCGTACACCCTCAACCGTTCTCCATGGAAAAACTCCATATGAAATATTGAATGGGAAGCCACCCACTTATGACCATCTACGGGTATTTGGATGCTTGTGTTATGCACATAACCAAGATAGGAAAGGTGACAAATTTGCAAGTAGAAGTCGCAAGAATGTATTTGTTGGATATTCAATCGAAAAAAAGGGCTGGAAATTGTTTGATCTGGAAAGAGAAGTCTTCTGGACTTCGAGAGATGTTAAGTTTGTAGAACATGAATTCCCGTTTGCCTCTCTTGCCCACAGTAGACATTCAGAGGTAGGATTGCCTACTGTTGATGTTGGCATTGTCGAGGAAGCATTGCCTGGACTTGGTGCAATGAACAATGCAGAACACGTTGTGGAGACTGATAACGTTAATCCCACAACAGAAGATGTGCCCACAACTGAGTTCAGGGAGGGCCACGCTGAATGCCATGAACAAGAGCCTCCCACCCAGATCGTTCTCCCACCAGAACAAACTGACTCTATGATGACAGAACTAGAGGTTCCTGAGGAGCATACTGTCCCTGCATCCCTGGGGAAAGGTCTTCGTGTACGAAAGCCATCTGTGAAGCTTCGTGATTATGTCACTAACACCACTTTACAACTCGGTCCCTCAATTCGCACTCCACATTCAGCTTCCTCAGGTATGCCTTACAGTTTGACAAAGTACTTAAATTGTGCTAAATTCTCCTTCCCCCACCGAACCTTTCTTGCAGCCCTTCATGCAGAGAGAGAACCTGTGCATTTCTTTGAAGCTGTTCGGGATGTTAGATGGAGAGATGCCATGGCTAGTGAAATTCAGGCCCTCCAAAGTAATGAAACATGGGACATTACTCCTCTACCGGCAGGGAAGAAGCCTCTGGGTTGCAAGTGGATTTATAAAATCAAATATCATTCTGATGGGAGCGTTGAACGCTTCAAAGCCCGATTAGTTGTCTTGGGAAATCACCAAGTTGAGGGGATTGACTATGACGAGACTTTTGCCCCAGTGGCAAAGATGGTCACCATTCGGACAGTGTTGGCAGTGGCAGTAGCCAAAGACTGGGAACTTCATCAAATGGATGTCCATAATGCTTTTCTGCACGGCGATCTTGAGGAAGATGTGTACATGAAAATGCCGCCAGGGTTCTTGGTGTCTCAAAAGGGTATGGTGTGTCGTCTCCGCAAGTCCCTTTATGGTCTTCGTCAAGCTCCTCGGTGTTGGTTTGCCAAGCTCTCAACTGCTCTTGTTCAATATGGGTTTCAACGTTCTTCGTCTGATCACTCCTTGTTCATCTTTCGCAAAGGAGATGTCGAACTGGTTGTGTTAGTTTACGTGGATGACCTAGTCATTGCTGGCAATCATCATGAAGACATTGCGCAATTCAAAGATTATCTTCATCAATGTTTTCGTATGAAGGACTTAGGGAAATTAAAATACTTTCTTGGGGTGGAGGTTGCCAGATCTCCTACAGGAATTTTCTTGTGTCAACGGAAGTATGCGTTGGACATCATAGCTGAAGCAGGATTGCTTGGAGGGAAACCTGTGTCCACGCCAATCGAAGAAAATCATCGTTTAGCATTGGCTGATGGCGAACTACTTTCTGACCCGAGTCAATATCGACGTCTCGTCGGTCGCCTTATTTACTTGTGTTTTACACGACCTGAATTATCTTACAGTGTTCATGTCCTATCTCAATTCATGCACCAACCGCGTCAGGAGCATTGGCGGGCTACACTCCGCGTGGTACGCTATTTAAAGGGCAGCCCGGGTCAGGGTGTGTTTTTAAAAAGAGAGAGTGACCTTCGTCTTTATGGTTGGTGTGACTCGGACTGGGCAAGTTGTCCTCTAACTCGAAGATCTCTCACCGGTTGGTTTATTTTCCTTGGTCAATCCCCCGTTTCCTGGAAAACCAAGAAGCAACATACGGTTTCTCGATCATCCGCTGAGGCAGAATATCGTTCTATGGCCAACACGACATGTGAGTTGAAATGGCTTCAAGGCCTTCTTTCGAGCCTAGGCATTACTCACACCGACCCTATGACTCTCTACTCGTGACAACCAAGTCGCCCTTCACATTGCCAAGAATCCTGTGTTTCATGAACGGACAAAACATATTGAAGTGGATTGTCATCTTATTCGTGATGAAATACAACACAATCATATCCAACCCTCCTATGTGTCCACTCATCATCAACTGGCTGATCTCTTCACCAAATCTCTTGGCGCCACTAAATTTGGTTCTTTTTTAGGCAAGTTGGGCATTCACAACCTTCATACTCCATCTTGAGGGAGGGTGATAAACATAGAATATACGATTACAAATACCGTATCATGCCATGATTCTACATGATTAATTTTTTCCATATTTAGCTTGGCATGACAGCGATGCACAGTGATGCACATTAATGTCATATCTGTTAATAGACAAATTTAGGATACCGACTATAATGGTTAGCGTAATTATAGCCTAGAATGTTTCTGTATTTCATGTATATATTGTGCTATCATATTCAATACAAGACAGAGGTTTTTGGAAATATTTTTATCAAATTCCATCTGAGAGGGTCTTCCATTTCACCAAGGAAAAAATAGTGGAACTGAAATCAAAAGCTAATGCAGAGGCCAAAACCGACATAATATCTTCTATGCAAGCGCTTTTAACTCTCCTTTGGCGCGCTGTGACACGTTGCAAACTCGTCGACCCGCAAGAAAAGGTGCATTATGTGTTGTTCGTTGGCGTTTGGTCGAGGATGGTTCCACCACTGACAGAGGGTTATTTTGGAAACTCGGTGATAGCTACTATTGTCACCATGAGAGCGGGGGAACTATTGGAGGGTGGGCTTGCAAAGGGTGCTTTGGAGATGAACAAGGTGATTTCTTTGCACTCTGGTGAGAAGATAAAGAACCACTATGAATCTTGGATGAGAAGGCCAAGGCTGTTAATGTTGCCGAGTGGCGTGGCTGGTAGTAGTTACTTGATCACTAGCAGTTCCCCAAGGTTCAACATAATGGGTAATGATTTTGGTTGGGGAAAGCCTGAAGCAGTTCGAATTGGAGGTGGCAATGAACGAAACAGCATGATTACTCTGTTTGGTGGCGCTGAAGAAGGCTCCATTGACATTGTAGTGGACCTTCCTTATTGGATTTTGGAGGCCTTGGGAAACGACGCAGAGTTCATGGACGTTGTGTCCAACTAACATGGGTAGGGCAAAACCTTAGTTCAGTTCAGTACACCTCTAATACTTGTTTATTTATGGGCCTGTTTGCTCCATGAAAACTTCAATAACATACAATTGTTTAGGTTTAAAATAAAATATAGAATATTATTATGTTCCTTTTTTTTCTATTTTTATTATTCATTTTATATATATATATAAATATTTAAAATTATTATTATAATATTAAAATAGGTTGTACATTGAATGAAAAAAGAGTGTTAAAATAGTTTTTTTTTAAATAATCATTAAACAATCTAATATGATAATATCATCCTATTAGATTGTGTAATAGATATATTGATAAACTGGGATTGTAAAAATATAATGACGCCATACAATGTATTATTTCCCTTGTCATTCGAATGGTAGATTAGGAATGATAATACTTTATCTTTAATTTTGCTCGATTCAAATTGTTTTGGTTTGTCTAGACTAGGAATGGAAACGGTGGGGCGAGGGTTTTGACTCTTCGATATTGTCTATTACTTTTTTAATCATTTTCGTCCTCCGTTCTGATATTTGTCGGGTTTAAAAATTAAGTTCCCATTCTCATCCCTATTAGATTTTAGGTTTCCCACCCGTCCCGTTTCCGATCTATATTACTTTTAAAAAGATAATTATATTTATAATAAATTAATTTTATTATGTATTTTTTATATATAAATAAATATTTATAATTTATAATTATTATTAATTAAATATACATTTTAATTTATTATATTTATATTAAAATAAGTATGTAAAAAAATATTTAATTATTTTTTATTTATATAGATATAGAAAATATTTATAACATTATTATTATTATTATATTCAAATATTTGAATACTTATAACATTATTATTATTATAATACTGAATTTAAACATTTAATTATATATATAAATTAATTCATTTTTAAGTTGTCATTTAAAAATATAAAATATATAATTTATAAGAAAATATTTAATAAGTTAATTATTATTTAATTAGTTTGAAGTAATAAAAGTTTAAATTATCAATTTCTTTTAATTCTTTAAAATATAATTATTTTATTAAGATAAAATTTGATATATGATAAATAAGAATAATAAGATAAAAAAAATATGACATAATAAAACTTAATAAATATAAATTATAAATAAAATAATATTAGTTACTACTAGTATTTATGTAAAATATTTAGAAAAAGATAAAGAAGAAAAAAAATTACTTTGTGTTTATCAAATTGATTGAAAAGATTAAAAAAAAATGATGGGAAAAATTAAGGAAATGTAAAAAACAGAAAGGTAAAAGAGAGAATAATATAATAAATTAATTAATATAAAAGATTAAAAAATTAAAAGTGGGTAGAAGACAAATAAAAATGGGTGAAATATTAAAAAAAACCTTATATGTAATAAAAAAAGAAAAAAATACATTTAAAGTATTAATATTTTAAATTTTAAATTTAAATATAAAGTCGGGACGGGGACAGGTTAGGTCGGGTTGGGAATTGCATTACACATCCCTGTTTTCGCCTCAGTTCCCAATATTTTAAAACGAGAAAAACTCGAATCCGCTGCCCATGATCAAGTCGAATTTTTCTCATGAAACTTTGAACCGAAACACGTCGATCCCCTCAGTTACACGTTTAATTACCATCCTAATCTTGCTGGTACAAAGGCTCTAATTTAGTTGGTTAAATAAAGCGCACTAGTTTGTAAATTCTTAACACCTTTATCAAAAGCAACTTCCAGCAGCTGTCATCGCTGATCTAATTTTACAGGTAACAGACCCTAAAGCGTAGTTACTTTTCCTCACCGTTGCACATGAAGTTCCTCCAAATGCAACCAAAATTTGACCAATTAATCAAAACACTTAAAAAATAGATAAAACTAAACTAAGCAATGACATAATCCAATCAGTTTTTCAGCCAAGAATATCTAACAGCTATTAAATCTGACCAAAATTATGACTTATAAACCAGCTGCGCAAGGTGGCTTATAACTGTGATGTATGCAGAGTGTATACTAAAACTAAATTAATAAATGTAGGCTTTTGCACCTAAATGATGTAATTGTTTTTGAAAAAATTATCGGGTAAATTTTAAAATAATTATGAAATTTGAATAAATGGTGTAATCAACCACACTTTTTTTTTCTTATAATACGATTTCTTTTTTTAATTTAGAAAGAAGTCATACTTAAATAATCCGACTTCTATTATATTATAATAATAATAATTATTATATTATATTATTATTATTATTATAATTATAATTAATAATAATATTTTTTATATTATTAATAAAATAAATAATAATAAAATTTATTTTATTATATTATTATTAAAACAAATAATTATAATATTAATAATGTAAATATTATTATTATTTATTTTATTTTTAATTGTAATAATAATTAAATTATATAATAAAAAATTTATATTATTATTTATAATAATAAAATAATAAATTTATATTAATTTTGACTATTATATTTTAATAATAATTATAATTATATTATAAAAATATTATTACAATAATTTATAATAATAACTTTAATATATAATTATTATCTATTTTATTTATATATTTATATATTTCTTTAATAAAATTATTTGTGACAACTTAACGTAAGAGACCCAATCAGATTGGCATATTAAACATTAAGTTTTTCTAATATATAAAATATACAGGGACGGAAGCCATAATCCATATCCATGTCATAAATTTACGAAATAAATTGAAATTCTGAAAACCCAAACCTAAAGACTAAAAACTGACCTCTGAAAGAATATTAGCATAGTTTATTTTATTCATATTATTTTAATTATAATTAATAATAAAATAAATAATGATATATATGTTTATATTTATTAATATAATTAATAATAATAATAATAATACACATTATTATTAATAATTATTATATTATTTTATTATTATAAATAATAATAATATTATTATTAATATAATAATACAATAATATTAATAATTTTGTGTGATCAATTTATTAATTTAGCCTTTTCTTGTCATGGAGTTTTCATTTCTCATCAGTACTTTGAATGTAAGTACTGGTAGCTTCAAAAACTTTATAAGATGTGGCTATAGAAAATTATTAGAACTCTCTCCATCTACTAAACACAATCATAGGTAACTTATTAATATAACCTAAAAACTGAATGATACCTAAATCAATACCACCATTGATAAATGATAATCATCAATCTTACTTTCTTCATTTATGTTATTCCAGGTGGTGCCTGGATCATAAGAATTTTTGTCTAAATTTATAAACAAATATTATATATTTGGATATCTATAGTTAAAAGAGATTTTGTCATTAAAAAATAACATAATCCTTTTTTTAACGAAGTAGTATTTTTTTTTACATTATTATTGATAATGATGGAAGAGATATTTTAAATCCCAATTTGAATTATTGTGGTGCACGAACTTGTTGATGTCACAAGAGAATAACTTAAAATTGTTGGTAAAAATTGTGTAGAGACCATTGAACAATTTTTAATTTGATGAGGGGTCAAATTAGAAATACTAAAACTTAAGTAATTAAACTAATTCTGATTATTTTAAGGGTCGTGGTCCCTTCTCGAGAGCATACTACACGAACGTAAATATCGGTCCCGTTCTTTTCTTTCTATTTCCATCAGAGAGAAAATCAAAGGGAAATACAGGTGTTCTTCGAGTGCTTCTACAAAGACATCATCGTTATGACTAATTTAGGTACGTTTTGCATTCAGCTTACTAATATGTTTATAAGTATGAGATTATATTTATTATTGATAGTTAGAATCAAAATCAGGATTATTATTATTATTATTATTATTATTATTATTATTATTATTATTATTATTATTAATGATTTTCTAACAAAAATAGGTTGAGAATCCCTATCTTCTTAATCAAAATTATTGCTCTCAAAGGAGTAGAAGCCTAAACCACCACATCTATTCTAATTTTAATATTGAGACTACTTAGAAAATAATTTAATAAAGCTTCATGACGCATTCGATATTGGTTTGCCAAATGACATAAATTTCAGATGATGATATGAAATTGTAGGGTTTATTGCAATTTAAACAACTCAACCATTAGACAGACAAAAGGAAAGAGACCAAATTGTAATTTCAAAGTACACGTCAAATCAGTTCAGATCGAATTGCTGAAAGAAGTTGAACCATTTGAAACCAAGAAACAACATTTACATAAAAAGAATCGTAATTATCTCCACTGTCTCCGGATCAGGCGTATGACAATAGTTAAAGGATTTTTTTATCTTAAATATCCACACTTACACATTCGATTGCACATCAAAATGTGAAAATCCTAATAAGATATCTTTAATAGGAAAAGCAACTTGCATTTGCTTTACCCCACCGAAGCACCATGGGATTGAGATTGCAATTGCATTAGTAATTCCAATGATTGTTGGAACTCATTCAATATGTGCTTATTGTTTACGATGACGAAGTTTTAATAAATCCATTAATTTGCAGATTTCATTCGAATTACCACATACTTTGTTCTATAGTTTCTTTAAACGTGTGAAGTCCTTTTTATTAAATTATTAATTTAATTAGATTTTAAAAGGGGATTATTTTGTATTAAATCTTAATAAAATTAATAATAATATTTTTATTTTATTCTTTTCCTAATAATTTAAATAATAATAATTTTTTATAAATATTTTTAATAATAATAATAATTTAACAGTAATAACAATTTTGTTAATAATTAGATGTTTTATTATAAAAATATTTAACTTACTAAAAAAATTATAATTTAATAAATTAGATAAAATCAAATACGACGAGTGTATTAAGTTATTTAATATCATATCACCCCTGTATCACAGATGCAATTAATCAGAAAAGGATAAAAATGAGAAAACAGCGATGGAAGAGAGAAAGAGAATAAAGAAATTTCAGAGGGCATTCCACGCATAACTCCCTGTGGCACGTAGTACTTTAAAAATATATTTTCTCTCTTACGTCACA